ACATTTTGAAATAATGTTTGAATCGGTTTTGATGAGATATGTAAACCTAGGGTACATATACTGAGAAAAGTGGATCGATATAAAATCCTTTAACTTCTTCTTAGTTTCATAGAAATATTACCATCTCAATATATTAAATAATAATTTTGATTGTCTTGTCTGCCTGCCTGCTGAGATCTCGTAATGTCCCAAAATGAAAAGTTTGGTATTTGTGACATATAGTTATGTCTGTGCGTACATGACCCGCCATCATGTCATCGCCACCACCAGGCAGGTAAAAATTTCCAACATACAAGCCAACTCCTTGTGTGATTTTCCAACAAGCTCACACGCATGGATGATGGTAACATATTTTCCTTTAAGTAAGTCCTGTTAATGGGGTTTGGAGGTTTCTTTTTGGTTGGTGGTTTAACTGTTTCCAAATGTTCAAAGTCGATTGCAATCTGGTGTTTTCATTTAAGGCATAGCTCTTTTTTTTCCAACTCCCGAGTAATTATTTCGACTAGACTGACAAGCGTTTTGGTTATGGTGCATGGTTGGGTGCGTGTAAGTTGTCAAGTTCAGTTTTTTTGTTGGCATCAAAGAAAACTAAAATATTCGAAAACTGGTAAATGATATCTAGCGTTTTTTCGAAAAAAAATAAAAAACCAAGTCTATGCCAGGAGATATCTGCAAGTTTATATAAGTGAAATGCTTGTTCGATGACTGTAGAGTATGTTTTCTGCGAATATTCGTTGGTGACACCTTAAGGTTGGTTGTCACAAGGTTGCCCAAAGATACATGGCGGACAAGGCGTGATTGATTGCAATGCGGAAAGGAGTAAATTTGAAAAAAAAAAACATATGTTGTTGGCAACAAGAAAAATAACCCCAACTGAAAACTTTATAAATCACTTGTACCACCAAATTTTTTACACACACACACACATTTACATTTATTTGTAGCTCCATTTATCTGTCGTGTTTAAATAACATCTTCCACTAATTAGAAACCATTTCAAAGACTAGTACCCAGGTAATTATTTGCATGCAACAACATTAAAGCCAACATTTTCCATTAGCATGGCTTAAATATTTTGCCTAAGTGCTTCTGGTTGGTTTACTTAACACTTGAGTGTTGCTGAGGTGTTAAATCGCTTAATTAGTTTATGTAATTTGAAGATGTAAATAAATGCTTAATTTACAAACATTTGATGGTTGGTAATCGACACATATTATGGCATTTGGGATTAAATGAGAAATCTTAAAAAACAAGAAATTAGATTTACAGATATTTATGTATACCATAAATATGGGATATTAGAGATTAGTATAGGTCATAGAATCTTAGGGCTTCTTAAAGCTCCGCAACAAAAAATTTTATTTCAAATAGATCATGCCATCTACCAACATTTGGTCTTAGAGCAATTACAGTTTACTTTCAGAGGGAACTAATATATGGGAGGCATATCCAATTCTGAATCGATTTTCAGTAAATTTAACAGAGGCATATCCAAATCTTAGCCGTTCTCGATAAAGTTTAGGAAATGCATTTCCTAGCTCTATAAGATATCTGGTACCAAACATTATTGTTGTCGAATGCAAATCCAAATTTGAAGTGCTGGTTTATAGGATGAATTCAGACGTTAATGCCAAAATTCAGTTAATTTGGGCTGATATTAGCCATTTAGCGCACAACAAACCTTATATCATATAAAGATATAAAGGAACTGCAACCAACTTCAGACTACTGTCATTTCTAATCCACTCGTCCGACAGCTGTTAAAATTATTCCAGTGACAGCTCATTATATGGTTTACAAGCGTACAAAAGCTTTTTGCTGACAATTTTCCTGAAAAAAATTTATTCGTGATGGAATTCAAGCGTGATAGTGTGATTTCTTTATATTTGGCTGGAAAACCACAAGTGGCTATTGTTAGAGCACTCCAACATTTAAGTGTGAATAAATCTTTTGTGTCTCGTATCATCGCTCGTTAGCGTAATACTGGTAGCGTATCCCAACGGCAAGGAAGTGGAAGTAGACGGAAGAAACATTCGGCAAGTATTGAAAAATGAGCTCTGGGTAAAGCCATTGAAATTCCAAATTGCAAGAACTTACACCTCAACAGAAAGAAAATAGACTCAAAAGAGCTAAAGATTTACTTCGCGTGACCGAATGTGGTGAACTGCCGATTTCTGCCGGTTTTCTCCGATGAAAAAACATTCGTTGTGCAGCAGTTTGTAAACAAATTAAACGATAGTGTTTACTTGCCAAAGAGGTCAGCTGAAAATGTGCACCTTCGGTTGGCCACCAGAACTCAGGCGCCGGCCATGGTGATGGTGTGGGCCGCCATAACAGCCAATAGTCGCTCTCCGTTCCTATTAATCGACGAATGACGAATAATATCACGAAAATATTCTGGAGTGTGTTATAAAGCCTTAGGCACGCAAACATTTTGGCCGCAGACCTTGGACATTCCAACAGGACTCAGAACCATCGTACTCAGCAGGCACCACCCAAGAATGGTTACAAAATAAGGTTCCTCGCTTCATTTGCAGCACACAATGGCCACTTAATCTCCGCATACCAATCCTTTGGACTATTGTGTCTGGAGTATTTTGAAAATCAAAGTTGGTACTAAAAAATACCAAAGTGCCGATCACCTCAAGCATGCGCTTCGCCGGGAATGGGCCAAAATACCGCAAAATTCGGGCAGCGTGTGACGGTTTCATTGGCCGTGTGAAAGCCCTAATTCGTGCCAAAATGACCAATTCGAACAAATCTAAACTTTTTCTAAATTTGTTTCTATTTCCGACATTTTTTGCTTTCATTCAATAAAATGTAAAAATTATGACGTTTATGTCACCCTGTATATAAATGGGAGCTATAGCTATATCTGAACCGGGTTTCTATCATTTTGATGTACTTGCTTCTAGACTGAATTCGGTGGGTTGTACCAAAATTCAGCTTATTTCGACTTATATTGGACATTGGTGCACAATTAACCCGAAATCGGTTGAAGATATATGGGAACTATATCTAAATCTCATCCGATTATCGCCAATTTTAATAGGGTTCGTCCTTGTTTGCAAAATTTCATCTCGACCGTATAATAAATGTTCACAACAATAAATGGACGGACTGACTGACGGATTCCCCTAATGGTGGAATGTATAAAAAACAAATAAAAAATCTGTAAGTTCGGCTAAGCCGAACTTTAAATACCCTCCACCATTTGGAAAGAATTTGACAATTTTGGCCCATTTACGAACTTAACCTGCCTACTGATAAACTATGCATGTATGCCAAATTTTAGCCTTCTATATTATTTAATTCGAAGCATAGCGTGATTACAACAGACAGGCAGACGGACATTGCTAGATCGTCGTAGAATTTTACGCTGATCCACAATATATTTACTTTGTAGGGTCTATTATGATTACTTGGAGGAGTTACAAACGGAATGACAAAGCAAATATACCCTCCATAGGGGATAATATGGGAGCTCTATCCAAATCTGAACCGATCTCTAAGAAGTGTTTTAACAATGGCTAAAATCAACGAATTAAAGTACGAGTTGCTTGACCACCCACCTTAATCACCCGATTTAGCTCCCAGTGAATTTTACTTGTTCCCAAATCTAAACCAGTAAAGAAAGTCCTAAAGTCGGGCGGGGCCGATTTTATGATACCCTACACCACTTTGCTAATTTAGTTGAGCTCCACTTAATAATTAAAAGTTGTTATAGGAGAATTCAATCATACACTCTCTGATTATCATTATAATTTAAAATTCAAAGGACTAAATATGCCAAAGCATTTGTATCTTTTAAATTCGGACTTGTATTGCCCATTTGAGGCAAAATTAATTTGAAATCAGATAAAGATAAAATTTGGCAAAGATATTTTTGAGCTGTATTTGATATATTTCCCTGAATATCGTTGTTACGGAGTGCATATTACGGCTGTAGGTAACAAATACAACAAAACGGATGAACAATATATATGGGAGCTATAGCTATATCTGAACCGATCTTCACCAAATTTGGCATACTACCTTCAAGACTAAATTCGGTCGTATGTGCCAAATTCCATCCCATTTGGGCAAATATTAGACGTTTGGTGGCCAATAAAAGGTAAATCGGACGAAGTTATATATGGGAGCTATATCCAAATCTGAACCGATCTCGATAAAATTTAGCAAAGGTATTTCTGAGCTGCATTTGATATATTTCCCCAAATATTGTTTTTACAGAGTGCATATTACGGCTGCGGAGGACAAAAATAACAAATCAGATGAACAATATATATGGGAGCTATAGCTATATCTGAACCGATTGCGATCAAATTTAGCATACTTATTTTCAGGCCTAATTTGGTTGTATGTGCAAAATTGCATACTATTCGGGCTGATATTACACGTTTGGTGTACAATAAAAGGCAAATCGGACGAAGATATATATGGGAGCTATATCTAAATTTTTACCGATTATCAATAGGGTTCGTCCTTGGGCCAAACAAATGTTGTTTGCAACGTTTCATCTCAATCGTATAATAAATGCGACCTGCATTTTGTTCACAAGAATACATGGACAGACGGACGGACAGACGGACTGACATGCATAAATCAACTCAGAAAGTGATTCTATGCAGATCATCAAAAGGAACTATGGGTCTATCTCGTTTCCTTTTGCCTGTTACAAACAAATGCTCAAAGACATAATACCCTGACCACCTTGTGGTGTAGGATATAAAAAATTCCTTGCTGACAAGCTTTTTACCTCAAATGAAGATGCAATTTCAATTAACATACATAATTATTTCTTTTTTTCAAAAATCTCAAGAATTATTGTTTTGTGAAAAAATAATAATAAATTCTTCATTGCCCTAAAACGAATTGTTTAAAATTATTTTAAAATTGTAGAAAAAATTAGGTTTGGGAGGATGTCTGATCTTGCGTGTGTTTCATTCGTAATAATTTTATTAAAACCAAAAAGAATATTTGTATATTCAAATACTTACAGTGATCCACGGAATAAATTTACACTGTAGTCATATACCGATGATCGGCCTGGTCCGGCCAAAATCAGAGCACATTCAGCACCCAAAGGTGAGGTATTGATGGCTTCACCGAAATGATGAAATTGGGCATTGATGAGGCAGGGTGCCAGCAGAGCCGTTGTTAAAAGGAATATTCTGTAAAAAGTCGAAAAAGAAAAAAATTTTAACTTAAAAAAAGTTTTTAAAAAAATTTATGCATTTTTTACAACTAATGGAAAAAAACATATATTCATCTGTTTCTTCGCAACAAAGTATAATATACGTATATAATCCTCTTAATGAATCAAATCGCATTAGCAGTTTTTTTTTTGCAAACAATTTCTAGGCTTTTAATACCCAAAGTGTATAAATTTGACATTGCAACAAATACAAATACACTAAGTACATTAGCAAAACTAAGCCATGTTTTGTAATGTCTCAAGTACTTTGTTCAAAGTTCGGCTTTTGTTATGTCGGAAAATCACCAAACGAAAAAATCTAATATTATTTATGAGTTGTCGGCATCATTTGGTTTCTTTAAAACTGTTCAAAGTCTTTTTTCTTCTTCTGCTTCATCATCGTTTCTTTGTAATAACTTTGAATCATAGCAACAAAACAAATTGGCGTTGATAGTCGTCGCGGTATTATTTATTAATAGCTGGCCTTAAGGTGTAAAGGCTTTTTGAATGGTGGTGGTGCTGTGTTTTTCCTTTGTTACAGCCGCCTCAGGTTGTTACCGTTTACCTTCTCAAAACAAAATGCAATAACTGTTGAAGTGTTTTTTTGGTTTTTTGTTGGTTTCATAAAAACTTAGTATTTCCCTGCTGGTGTCAGACAGCTTTTGGCATTGTATTTCACGGTAGTTGCTATGAAGGCTCATATGAATACAAAGAAGTGCAGACATACAAATACTAATGCATATTTGTGTTTGCTACACATCTGTGTGTATTTATGCCATAGTGAAAGTGGTGAGGTCTCTCTTTTCTATCTCTCTCTCCATTTCTTTTCATAGTCATTATTTAATTGAGATAACGTTTTATTACCTCCTTGAGCGTTTCGGTATTGTATGAAGGTACTATTTTGTATGTACATATATATATATGCATAGGAAATTTTTAATTACAATGCCTATCGCATTGTGCCATCTGTAGTGTGATTATCTGCACTGCATCATATCACCATTGTGTGGTGTAATTTAGAAAGGTGGCCCTTTTTACTGCCGAAGTCCAATTATTTATAGCTGTAATATCAACAAATCGAGCCTTTCACCATTAGATAATGAAATGGCATAAATGTTCACTTTCTTCACCGATGTTATTACAAGATTAAAGTAATCAAATGAAGGGCGACTACGTACTGAGGCATGTTACAGATTTGATGAATTTAAATTGAATTAAATGAGCAAAATATGCAACACTTCGGTGTGAAATGTGAGCTTCGATGACTTTGAATAAAACAGAGATATCAGTGTGTTAGTCTGAATTTTGAATTCTTGAAGATGATTGGGATTTTTACCATAATTCGCATTATTGCATTCACTCTGCATTTTCTAAAAATTGCAATCAATTGAATAAATCATAAAATTTTTATACCCTACACCACAAGGTGGTCAGGGTATTATAGATAGACCAATAGTTTCTTTTGATAATCTGCATAGAATCACATTCTGAGTCGATTTGTCCGTCCGTCTGTCCGTCTGTCCATGTATTTTTGTAAACAAAGTACAGTTCGCATTTATTGCCCTATCCAGATGAAATTTTGCAAAAGTCATTTGTTTGGCCCAAGGACGAACCCTATTGAAATTGGAGATAATCGGTAAAAATTTAGATATAGCTCCCATATATATATATCTTCGTCCGATTTGCCTTTTATTGAGCACCAAACGTATAATATCAGTCCGAATAGTATGGAATTTTGCACGTACGATCAGATTGGACCTGAAAATAAGTATGCCAAATTTGATCGAAATCGGTTCAGATAAAGCTATAGCTCCCATATATATTGTTTTTCCGATTTGTTATTTTTGTCCTCCGCAGCCCTAATATGCACTCTGTAACAACAATATTTGGGGAAATATATCAAATACAGCTCAGAAATACATTTGCTACATTTTATCGAGATCGGTTCAGATTTGGATATATCTCCCATATACAACTTCGTCCGATTTACCTTATATTGTGCACCAAACGTCTAATATCTGCCCAAATTGAAATTTGGCACTTACGACCGAATTGAGTCTAGAAGCAAGTATGTCAAATTTGGTGAAGATCGGTTCAGATATAGCTATAGCTCCCATATATACTGTTCATCCGATTTGTTATACAGTATTTTTCGCTCACCTGCACAATCAAAAATTGCACGACATCTTGTGCAGCAATGCCCAAAATGCAGGTAGCTTCATTGCATTTATCTGCACAATGAAGCAGGTATCTTTAATTTTATTTACGTGCACAAAAAGTGCAGGTATCTTTAATTTTCTATTCGTGCACAACAAAGCAGCAGCAGCATAACCATCTTTTAGTGTGGGAGAGGAAGCGAGAATATGTTTTTAATGCATGCTCTTTTCGTGTGTTGTTATTGTTTTTGCGAATACAAAAACAAAAACTTAGTAGTAGTTTTCAGTGTCTTCTTTGAGTTTGCAAAAAATTTTCTTGTGCAAATAAATACAACTTTTGTAAACAAATTAAAAAAAAATTACCAAATTTTCGAGGCAGGAATGTCCAATGTGCAGCTATCGATTGGGCACTTAAATACAATTCAAATAAAGGGATTCAGAAAAAAATGGCATAAAAAAAGTTTCTTGGTCTGCAAAGGCCAATGCGCAGCTAATGTTGATGCAGGTAAATAGAAACCACTGTATTTATTACCCACAGCCGTAATATGCACTCCATAACAACGATATTCAGGGAAATATATCGAATACAGCTCAGAAATATCTTTGCCAAATTTTATCGAGATCGTTTCCGATTTGAATATAGCTTCCATATATATCTTTATCCGATTTCAAATTTATTGTGCACCAAATGGGCAATTGAAGTCCGAATTTAAAAGATACAAATGCTTCGGCATATTTAGTCCTTTGAACTTTAAATTATAATTATAGCGTGTATGATTGAATTCTCCCATAAAAACTTTTAGTATATATGCGGAGCTCTACTAAATTAGCAAAGTGGTGTAGGGTATCATAAAGTCGGCCCCGCCCGACTTTAAGACTTTCTTTTTTTATTAACAAAAGATCTGACGTGAGGATGGTATACATCCTCGTCACTCCTTCTGGTACCATCCCCATAGAGGGTCATCTTTACAGGGTGAGATAAAAAAAACTGCAACAACGTCAAACTCCATAATTTTTACATTTGTTTTTTAAATTCTATTGAATGAAAGCAAAAATGTCGGAAATAGCACCAAATTTTAGAATAAGTTTAGATTTGTTCGAATTGGTCGCCTCTGGCACGAATTATGGCCTTCAAACGTCTAACGAAACCGTCACACGCTGCCCGAATGATTCCCTGCGGTATTTTGGCCCATTCCCGGCGAAGCGCTTGTTTCAGGTAATCGACACTTTGGTAGTTTTTAGTGCCAACCTTGCTTTCCAAAATACTCAAGACACAATGGTCTATTCGGCATTTATTCTGATGCCACAGTCGATTAATACAAGCGGAGAGCGACCATGGGCTGTTATGGCGGCCCACACCATCACCATGGCTGGCGCTTGAGGTCTGGTGGCCAACCGAAGGTGCACATTATCAGCTGACCTCTTTGGCAAGTATACACGATCATTTTGTTTATTTACAAACTGCTGGACAGCGAATGTTTTCTCATCGGAGAAAACCAAATTCGGCAGTTCACCACAAGCGAAGCAACTCTTTAGCTCTTTTGAGTCTATTTTCTTTCAGTTGCGGTGTAAGTTCTTGCACTTTTTGGAAATTCAGTGGTCTTACCCCGAGCTCATTTTTCAATATTTGCCGACTGGAATATTGCGATATGTTTAGCTCTCAAGCCAATTTCCGGCCAATGCGACGCGGGTTTCGATGAAGTCGCTTCTTTACTTTTCGAACCATTTCTGCTGATGTTGCTGTTTTCTTCCGTCCGCTTCCTTGACGTCGGGTTACGCACGGTAACAAGCGATGGTACGACATAACTTTTTTTTTGGAAAATTCCTTCCTGTATGGTGGAGGGTATAAAAAGTTTCTCATCATTGCCATCAGTTTCCTGTCAAAGGATCCACTGAAACTGAATGCACAGATCATTACCTAATCATCCAAAATAAAAACTAATTAAAAACTTTCCTTTACATTTGTCATCTTTGCTAATTAAATTTTTACCACATTCCGAACTCACACACACTCTTATCCAAGCCAACACTCGACAACATGAATTTACTTAAAACGACAAACTCGTTGATCATTAAAAAGATTACTTAACATCGAATTACACATTCAATTGAATTGAATTAACAACGCTTTGGACAAGTGCGACAGTGCCAGACAGCTGTGAGCAGGCAACCAGGCAGCAGCAGCATCATGCCGTCAATGATGGCAAATAATTAACTTGCTTTGAATTTAATGTTATTTCGATTAAAAGCAAAGTGAAGAAAAAATCAAATACCGAGTGTTTTGAACAACATTTATCGGTGACATTTTAAATAAACAAATTGAAAATATTGTTGTTTCAATTAAACGCCGTGGCATAACCAAACGAAAGACTTAAGACACAAACGTCTTTTTTCTTCTCCTTGTCCACAGCCAAAGTGTTGAAGCCATTTAAAAATGCATTAAATTAATTAATTTCCATTGTAAATATTAGCATATAACATTAAATTATTTTCTCAGCACGTGATTAGTTGAGGTCATTTTAGCCATTAATTTGGAATATTTAAATGTAAAATAAATTGAAGTTTCGAATGCATGTAAAGTTGAAAAGAGTAACAACTTAGAATCAGATTTTGTTACGTCTTCTTCTAATTGATTAATATTGAGTTAGAAATAGTTTGCATAAAACACTACACCTAAGATCTCTTAGAATCTATCATTTACTCAGACAATGAGTTCTTAGCAAATAGACAATATTAGTATTTTTATATCCTCCACCGTACATAGTATGGAGGGTATATTAAGTTCGTCAATGGAATTGTGTGATATTCCACACAATGAGTT